ATGGAAATAAATTCTGTAATAAAGAAACAACAGTAACAGAAGCAAAAAATGTGATTTCAAATTTAAATTGAATGGAAATTGCTTTTGACGGGTTTCTGACGTTTCTTTCTGGAAATGAAGTTAAAATTGGGGGGAATTGGGATGATGATGATGATGAGGGTAGCAAAAAGTTACGATAGTATGAGAAAAAAAATTGTAATTTTGAGTGACAATGTGTTGAATTAAACTATTTTAATTGAAAAGTTTTCTTCTTCTTGGTTTTTGTTGATTTTCAACTCATTCAGATTTTTTTTTGAAAATTTCGTAATTAAATTTACTAGTTGAAATTAATGGGATGAGAATTTGCGAGTTATGAAAATTTTATTTTGTGTAAATTAAAAATTTAAAAAAGGGTTGAATCTAAAAAAATTGTAATTTAAGTTTTTTCGTAGTTTTCTGGTTCATTTGATGTTTGGGTAGTTAATGAATTATGGTAATTGAATTATCTAAGTTGGGTTAAACTACCAGAGTTTGCCATAGTTTTTAAGGAATGAGGTGTCCTGGAACTGGCTTTGTAGCCTTCTAAAAATTACAAACAGCATCTCTAGTCACTTAACTGTAAGCAAACAACTCAAACTCAACAACTTACCCCCCCAGATTTCATCAACAATATAAAAAAAATCCCAAAAGCATGAAAAGCAATAAATTCAAATAATAAAAATTGAAAAGTAAAAATTCTTCATTCAATAATGGAAAGAAATAATTTACTTTTCGGTTTGTTGTTTTGGTAAGAGAGTTTTGTCGCTCCTTAAAAGTGCTTTGTGTGCACAGTGAAAGACAAAAAAAACTTTATTTTTCATACATTTTATTTATTTTCAACCAAGCAAAACAACATAAACAACAAAAGCAAAAATTTCTGCTTTCTGCTCACATTGCAAACATATCAGAAAGTCATAAATAATGAAAAATTACTGACAAAAAAAATTTGTGCAAGTGAAAACATAAAGAAATTTTTTGGATATTTGTCTCTCCGATTTAAGCTGATTTTCTCTTTATTTTCGTCTCATTTCAATGAGCAAGGAGGAAAAATAATGAAATAAAATCAAATATTTAAGTAAGAAGAATCATAAAAGTCAAATCAAGAAAGAAAAGTCTGTCATGACATTATTATGTTCATAATAACATTATTTCTGTCTTTATCTGGAGAATTTTTGTGTGTTTGTTCTACTCTATGACAAATTTCAATGTTTTTGGAAATGGAAGGGTGAATGAGAGTCATCAAAATTTAATAATACTTAGTAAGGGGCCGTTCACTTATTACGTTCGCATTTTAGGGGGGAGGGGGGGCTTGAAAATTTGTAACAAAATGTAACAAAAAGGGGGGGGGGGGGGGTGTCAAGAAGTATGTAACGTTCCAACTGTCGTCTGTCTTTTAAAGAAAAGTTCACGAAAATTCACACCAAAAACATTTTTTCAAATTTTCCACCTTTTTAATGATAAAATAAATTATGAACGTTCAGGGGGGGGGGGGGGGTTGTGAGTTGTAACATATTGTAACAAGGGGGGAGGGGGGGGTGAAAAAAGTCGTTTTTTTGCGTAACGTAATAAGTGAACGACCCCTAAATGGTCCAGTGAATAGTAATGAACAGAGTCGATTCGGTAAAGTCAAATTTGAGCTGTATTGTCCAGAAACTACCACTGACACCAAGACTATTTAACATTGTCACCTTCATAAAATTCATTATAGTGATTTAAAACCATTTTTTGAGTTACTAAGGACTATAACCTGATCAACTTCAACAAAGCTAACTCAATGTCTGTTAATAGGAATACATTTCAATAATTTAGGCTTTTTATTAATTTTATTCATTACATTCAATTTATCATTAACTCATTAATGCATAATTTATGTCTAGTTCACTGGAAATACTTCAATTTTGATTTAATTTCCAATCAAAACTTTATTATCATTAAAGTTAAACATCACAAATTAGTCTCTTGACACAATAAGCATTACAAGATAATTAATTTCTAGTTCTTCTTTGATTAAACGATTTCTCTTGAAAACCCACACAAGTTTCTGAGAAGTATTTAGCTTTTGACATTTAATGAGCGTTATTAATGTAATAATTTATGGAAAATAGTTCTGACGTATGAGCTTTTGACGTAATGCAGAAGCACATGCGTGTCTTCAACTTGATTCTTATTCAAAATATTGCTGAATGAGCTAAAAATTCAAGCAAATCCTCAACATTGTAACTTAATTTCATTCCATTTCTACAATAATTTTTGATTTGACATAAAAATTATGATGAAAAAATAATGCGAAAAAGTATTCATGACAAGGACATAAGCCTATGAATTTTTGTCATTTCAGTCATTTGAGTATTGTTGACAAATGATAAGAAGAAAGAAATGAAAAGTGACATAAGAACGTTGAATGTAGTAGATTTGTGTGCAGTGAAGCTTATAAGTCTTGAATTTTTCATGTGTTTCTGTGGGGAATTTTATTTTTTGCTGGAAATGGAAAGGCATTAGGCGCTGATGTGGAAGTGGTTATTGAGTAAAATGCAGAATCTTTAAAAGAGAAATTGAAGCTAAAATTTCAAATTTTTATATTGTTTTAAAGAATGTTGTAGCATTCGATTGATATACGCTGGCTCGTGCATTTAAGCAGAGTTGGGAATCTATCTTAAAATATTGTAGCAGCTCGCGGACTTACAATGACAATCGTTATAAACTTTGCACTGCTTAAAGTGCTATCTACCGACACATCGTTGTTGGCCTGATTGACACACATTAAAATGCTTGCTACCCAGCAGCCGGGTTGATAGTATAATTAGAACCAAGCGGCAGTTCTTGGCAGAACCTGACTCGTGGCAAACATTTCAATGAATTTCAATGTATTGCGTAGTACTTGATACGTTCACATTTTGAAGATGAAGTCATGCCAAGTATCCATATCCAAAATCAAAACCAATTCCATTGCAATACAGAACTCCTAGACATCTACCAAAAATCCTTCGAAATAACCAATTAAAAGGAAATCCAATCAAGGATTACAGCTGTAATCCCAAATGACTTTCAATGTCCTTTTGCATGAAATGATTTTACTACAGCTTAATAATATGACTTTAGCATTGACTTCTTGTAGACAAAGAAACCAAGAAATTAGAATTAGTTTTTTTCTATACAATTTTTATGAACTTGCATGCTTATTTATTTTTTCTTTGACTTATATTTTCTAAACATTCTATTGAGTTCCTCATAAATCTAAGGTAAGAATAACATTTTCATTCGTAAGTAAATCTCAAAATAGAAGTAAATATCAAGAAGACAACAAAAAGTTCTTAGACAAAAATCTTCTTATAAAAGAAGAAAAGAAGAAAACAACATAAGAATTAAGTAAGGAACTGAAAGCATAGAAAAAAATATTGTCAATGCTTTTCTTTTTTTTTATTTTCCCCAAGGGATAAAAAAGTTCAAAAAAAAGGCAAGAGCAGAAAAATTATCGTGGTGAAAGCATAAATCCAGAATTTATGCTCGACACTCCAATGTGTCTGCTTATTTCCTCTCTCTCTTGACTCGAATATCGAAGTGAAAATTCTGCTCCTTTCAGCACGCCCGCGCATGCAAGAATAACACAAAAAATGAATTTTAAACTTCCCACAAAGCTCTTACTTACTCCTCCTCTTACTCAACTCCGATAAATGTTCTGCCTTTTATTTTATATTTTTTGAAATATCATGCAGAACAGCACACACAAAAAACGATGAGATATTTTCCATTTATTTAAGCAACTAGTGTTGAAAATTATACTGAAATGTATTCAGCTTGCTCTTAAGGGGGAAAGCATGCACATTGGAAAATTTCTGATGGTTTTTTTGGGATTTTGCGTATTTTGTATGAAATATCAATTGGATATAAAAGTTCAAACACCATTTTGGTGAAATATCTGTGAATCTGCACATGGCTTAAGTCTATCTAATGTTAAGATGTTTCTCCTTAGACAAGTGTGTAGGCTGCGGGTTCAAAGACTTTAAGGTTGATATGTATAACCTAGTAAGACCATACTTTACACCACGTCCTTCTGCCAGGGCGTAGTAAGGGTATTAAGCACCCGGACGAAATTAAGAAATTTTTGCTGCCGTATTTTGAGTGCCCGGGCCAAATTTAAAAATTTTTCTCCCATATTTTGAATGGCTGGGCCAAATTAAAAAGCTCGAGTCCTTTGAGCGACCGGGCCAAATAAAATCATTTACCCCCCTTTGCATGGCATTTTGGAAAACGTCCAGGCATCTGGAGGCCTAGGCACCAGTCCTCCACTCCTTGCTGCTTTCTTACCTCCAGCTACTGCTCAATCAAGTCTTTCAAATCCCCAAAAAAATTAACAATTCAACCGCATTTCAAGCAAGCAAATGACCCCTTGCCTTGCTCTTTACTCATTTCATATTGTTGCTTCTATTCATGTACGATTGTTGTTGGGCAATTTTATTTCCTTAAAAAAATATATACACTTCTTTATTCTCACTACTTCTGCTTCTTCTTCCGTCTTCCTACTTATTCACTTCGCAAGCAAATGCCAGAAAGCACTTTATGGCAATGAGAAAAAAAAGGCACTGTTGCACAAAGCTATAGAGAGAGAGTCGAAAAGAGGAGAAGAAGAAAATAAAGCTACTTGTTGATAACCATTTTGAGGAAGGAGAAAAAAATTCTCAATTGAGGAAATTGTTCTATGTATGTACACATTATATGTATGGATGACGACGATGATGATGATGATGATGATGTTCATTTTAATATTGAGGGGTTGAATAAATCCTCAAAATTTTTTTTTATTTTAAATATTTCATCAAAATGAATTTTTACTTATTTCATAAATGAATAAATAAACATGGATTTAATATCGAACACGCTTTTAATGTGTGTGCATGATATATTATGAATTATTAAGTGGATTTTTTGTTACCCATAATTGAATTTTAATAATTTTATTTCTCTCTCCTTTGATGTATTTACAGGTTGTGCATTTGTGAAATTCAGCTCACACCCAGAAGCTCAAGCAGCTATTACAAGTTTACACGGTAGTCAAACTATGCCGGTGAGTACATAATTTAATTTTGAGTTATTTGCATTATGTTTCAATGAGATTTAATGTGATTTTAAGTGGTTATGAGGAGAATTGAGGGGGATAACAACTTAAAGAGGAATTAATTTATTTATAAATTTCCAAAAAAATTCCTTTGATCAGGAAAACAGAATTGGTGGAAATTTCAGAATTAATTTTTTACCATCATGTTGTTGTCCCCCTGCTAGAAAATGTATCGACTAGAGTAGTGAAAATTGAGGAAAAAAACGAAATGGTTTCAATTATGGCTCAAATGTGTGTGTTCAACAAAAATGTTGAGCACCACTGAACTATAGCCTTTAAAATCAATTTTTTGACATTCGAAAACTTTTCCAATTTGACATTTGAACCCAAAAAATAAAACTTAAAGGTAAAATTTTAATAGACTCCACCCAAACTTCATCAATATTCATTTAAGAAAATCCTTTGGGAAGTTTTTTGTTACCTTTCCTCAATGAATCTTAAAGACCTTTCGTCTCCAAAACAAGAAAATTTTTGTTCCCAAAGCAATTTTCAGTTCACATAAATCTCATTGAATCATCTAACTTTTCACATCAGATGCTACAAATTTCTTCATTTTGTATTCCTTTCATTAACTTTGCCTCCTCGAAACTCTCAATTTTCATAAACTTCCTTCGAGGCAATTTCGAAATAAAAAATAATGAGAATTTGAGAGATTGTTTGTCATGAACATACAGGCATAAAAAAGGGTTTTTTATTCACTTAATGGCTGTGATAAAATTCATTAATTTTGCCTCTTAACGTTTTTTATGGTCATCTCAGAGCCATTAACTCATGAGGAATGAGGAACGAGAAACAATTTTTTTGTCCCTTTTTTTAGATGGGGAAGCTCCAATGATATTCTTGATTTATTATTTGAATAAATGTCTCTTTGTACTTTCTCATTTAATGACGACATTTATATGAGATTAAAGTTTAAAGAATGGAATCGTCCCCTCTATTGAAATTTAAATTATGTACGACAAGAATGAAAAAGAAATATGTTATCTTATGTGCTGTTTCCTCTATCTATTTTATATGGAAATTTATTAATGTCTACCCTACATTCAGATTATGGTAGAATGATTAGCTTCAATAAAGAACGCATACTCAGGTGCTTTAATTTCAATTTTCCTTCATTTATCATTTTCCCCCTCTTGTTATAAAGTTTTGGTATCATTTGTGTTGCATTATTATCCATTGATACTTCCTTTCCTTAATGAAAAGTCGTCATGGATATATTGATGTAGAAGAAGATTAATAATGAATTTTAAAAGAGTTTTGTTTGAGGATATTAAATAGTTTCAGACCCCTCCTTACTTTTGAGATTGTGATTTGGACCCCCCCCCCCCCTCTCTAACATGGCTACTACTAATAACATCCCTCCTACTAAAAGGTCAATTATTTGGAAATACGGTCATTTTTCAAAAAATAACAATGAATTTCCAAGAATTTCTATATTGCTGCCCCCCCCCCCCCCCTCCTGGATGTCATTAGTGAGCGGCCTCTTATCTTGCTTAAGATCTTCATCAAAACCTAATATCATCTATATTAAAAAGATTTTTTTCCAGCAAAATTTAATTAAACTCTTCTAAAATTCAAGGAAACCCCTCAAAAAAAATTCTTTGAAAATTCCTCAAAATTCTCATTCCACATTTCATTTCAATTCATCATAGCATTTTCCACATGCAACCAGTGCCACTTCCAATATGTATGTCAACTTCGAACGAAAATGTGCAATCAATGGAAAATTATTGCTTCAAATATTTTCCAATCTACTGCCTCTCCCTGAACTGTTTGCGCAAAATGAAAAAAAAATGAGGCGAGTGTTGTACATTTTAACGTTGTGTAACGAGAAATTAAATATTGTATATTGTTGTTGGAGTAACGTTACATGAAAAAAGGAAGGAAAAAATCAATAACTGACAAACATCGCAAATGTCGAACAAATTAGAATTGCTATCTCGTCAAACAGAAATATAATAAAATATGTTTGAATGTGTAGCTTGATAAGAGGTCAATGGGGTTCAATAGAAAATTATATCGCATCCTTGCAATTTTTGCAAAAATATCGAACAAAAAAACCAGCCAGACGCATATACAATTGTCATGTCATTGCTACTATAGCAATGCATCATTAAAAAATATTTTTATATCCACATTTACATCACCCTCGGTGCTTTTCTGTACTGTAGCTATAGACACTAACCGTATTAATCTGAATAGAAATATGAATGAAAAACTTTATTTTTTATTCTTGCATTCACTGTTTCCCTCGGTGACTAGATGGCTGGCTGTTATAGTTAAAATGACAAAGTAAAATTGATGTTAAATAATTTTTAGAGCAGAAGCTGTGGCAATTGTTGAATGAAGGAGGAAGAAATATGAAATTTACCAGCAGCGAGTGGATATAAATGTGAATAGAAGAATGGAAGAGCATACTGTAAAAAAAGAGATAGGGATTAGTAATTTGAATATTAAAAATTACCATCCATTTATTTTCGAAGTGACTTTAGTCGATGGAAATTTCTAGAAAACAATATTTTGGGCAACTTAAATTCTTTTCTTGTTTTCCACTGCAAATGTCATCCTAAAAATCAATTTAGACGCATCACACGCATTCATTGTGTTCTGACCAGAATCTCATATGGCATTGTAGGATGTGCTTCATATTGTCTCGTTAATCCAAAAATGTTGTTTTATTAAAAAATAAAATTCCGAACTTTCTCATTCTAAAAAAATCTTCATAGTGAATAAAAGGTTGTGTTGATAAATTAGGGGATGGAAAATGAGTGAGACTCGAATGTCAGAAATCTATCATGTTATCTCTCTCAGTCTCTTCTTTTTTGTACCGAACATCAGCAAAAAAGACGAATGAGAATTAAATTTCATGCAAAACATCCACTCATAAAATATCATTCGATGATAAATGATGATATATATTTTTCAGGCTATATGAGTGCCTGTCTGAACGATGATATGGAATCCGACCGTTCATATGTGTTTGGAATGAAAAAAAAAAGTTTCACTTGCTTTGTCATTCACTCTCACTCCGTAAAAAAAAATTCCAACAACATTTATCGATGATTTCTGATGAGATTTTTTTTGTACTTCCCTTCTGGCATATTGTTCATACATACATAATATGAATCTTATCTGAAAATCTATGGAAGGGCACACAAAAAAAAAATGCTAGGATGTATATGCAACACAATAGAAGAGAGAGGAAAAATTGAAAATCATTGTAGCAGTAATTTTTCTATCTATTACTCTTTCCTTCGTGACATTTTAATGGTGTACATAAGTTACATGCTCATAAGCTGAACACTTTTACCGGAGGAATATGGATATGAATATCATGCTGAAATAAATTTTGGATTAAAAATAGAATTAAAATTTATGAAAATGGAAGAAGAAAAAAAAATTCTCATGAAATGAAAATAGACGTTTTGTGATACGGATGAGATGGATTTTTATGAGCTTGTATGGAGAGCTCAGATGAATATGAGTGCAAGAATGTTTAATAGATAGACATAAGCTTGTCTGATCCTGATGGAGAATTTTTTCGTTTCTTGCTAAGATTATCCTTAAGGTTATGCATTCATTTAAATTTATATAGGTATGGTGACGGATGAGAGTGGAATTTGGGGTATCGAGCCATATCAAGGCATGGAAACTATCCCAAATATCTTATTTATCCCTTATATCCTAAAAATATTCAAAATAATCCCTGAGCCTGTATGCATTAGAATTGAGGTATCCCATCATATCATGAAATTACACGTCCAATACGCTAAGGATACGTTGGGATATCTCAATTCTAATGCATACAGTTATTATTTTGAATATTTTTGGGATAAATCGGATATTTGGGATAGTAACCATGCCTTGAGCCATATATAGGCGAAACTGTCAGTATGAGAGTTAGGCTACTGTGGCGCGACTGATTAAGCAATAGACTTGATCTCTTTTTTTTTGAGGATGTAGGTTCGATTCCATTAAAGGACGATCTCTCAATCAATTACAAAGAATATCACACGAACCGAATGTTGTGTTTGGTTTTGGCCTTGTTCATCACGAAGTGTGCCGTTGCATAAGTAAGGTTGAACACCACTGATAAAAAGTGTTTCACCATCCAAAAAATCTTGGGGGGCTCCCCACCCCCCCATTAAATTAGACTTGACACAGCCCTAAATATCAACCGTATAAACTCAAAATTTAAATACCAACATGCAATTACCGCCACTTCACTTACTTTTCCTCAATAACTCAGCAAATTATTTTAAATTCAAAAATATTCAAATTGAAAATTACCAAAAATAATTTATTCAAATCATTCAAGCTTGAAGGAAAAATTTAAATTTACATCTTCTGAATTACAACAAAAACATAATTTAAAGTCAGGATATTTAAGTAATAAACATGCAACTCGATTTCTCAATCCTGACTAGCTTTCATAAAAGTAAGGCATAAAAATTACTTTTCAAAAAAAAACAACTTCAGTTATAATAAAAACTGACTGTTCAGGGGGTTTATTAACATGAAATATGCATGAATGCCAAAGGGTATAGACACAGAAGAGGAACCGAAAAAAAAATTCCTTAGATAAAAATGGTAATTTATTCAGATTGATAATTAGCAATATATTTTTTTTTCATCTCCGCTCATGTTCTGTATGTAAATTTTACAAGAAATACGAGATGTCGAATGTTAAAACATCCCCAAAGCGCTCATCATCCTACACATATCTCACATCCGAGAGGGCCTTGAATGTTTAAAATGATAAATTTACTTGCGTACATATTTGTATATGTAAGGCATTATATTTGCGGTAAAAGCCTCATTAACTTTAAATCTCAGGAAATATTTCCCTTGGGGACAATTGAGAATATGTTGTTAAGCTATAGACTGTTCATAAATAAAGCATATAGCTAAGTTTTTGTTAGAAATGCAATTTTTATGGCAACAGAAAT